GCGTGAGTGTGTGGTGCCATAAGAAGCATGTGTAGCATGGCCATAGAGACTTCCGAGAGCAGGAGCTCTTTCAACCTGCCTTTCTCAACGAATTGTAATGCTCGCCCAAGCCGTGACTGTGCTTGTAGTAGCCTAGCCATATCTCCTCGAGGTCCTTGGCCTCGCCCTCTGGCTCAATCTTGTCCACGCGCCCGTCGCTATGCAACACGCAGATCCGAACACCATATGTCCTCGCCAGCGCAAGCAGCTCGAGATGTCCACCCCATTCACCCGTATCCCTGATCTTGCGAATGTGTTCAGGTAGTGAGTCCTCCATGAAGCCAGCAAAATCGTCCGCATTGCCCTCTATCCAGTCGGCTGCTGCGAACCGCACTTTCTTGTACTCCTCGCTCTTGGGCAGATTGTCACCTGCGACGGTAACTCTAATCTTTGGCTCCATGCTCAGCTCCCTTGTGTGTAACTGATCTGCAACCGCAGCGTACAGACAGTGTCCATTCGCCCTGATCTCGTGCAATGCCAACTTGTGTTTCCCCAGTTGTGTTTCCATGCGCTCGCGCTCAATTTCTCGTGGATTGGGGGCGTTCGCGGCTTCATGCTCCGCTTGGCGAATGGCGGCGTCTTGTTCGGCAGCGCGTCGAGCAAGGCGGGCTTTGGCGCGATTTGGCTTCTTCTGTTTACCTCCTGCGCCAGCGACTTCGTCGTCCCCTATCGTGCTGCTTTCGTGACTTTGTGTGCCGTTTCCGGTGATTTGTAACTTCGCGACGCCAGCATCCACACTTTCCTCGTCGACTGGGTCGTCTCCATCGCTTGTTGCTTCCTCTAATTGTTCTTCTACCACATCGTTGCTCAACGCTGCAAGCTCGCGCTCCTGCCTCTCTTTGAGCTCTCGGTCCAAGCTTTCACACTCATCGTTGACACCCTTTCGTGTCTTCTTAGTGGCTTGCTTCTTCTTTTGTGTTATCCGGGACACAAGGTCACGCTGTTCCTTGCGGTGACGGGCCTGTAGAGCTTCCAAAGTTTCCGATTCCACCGCTGTGTCGCTCATCGTGAGTCGATGTGCTTGTGGAAAAAGGTGTTGGGAGACACCACGAGGCTGATCAAAGGTAAGGACTGTGCTTTGAGTGGTGACAGGCTGAATGCGCAATGTTGGCGGGGTGGTGGGGGGCTCAAGTTTGTTTGGTCTCGGTGGAAAGTGGCGCCGCGGAAGTGAGCTTCAACCGCACCCTTCCTTTTCCTTCACCTCGACACCTGTCAGACCCCTAACGATATGCCCACACCATGCTTTGGGGACTTGAAATACATGGGGGTATTATCTCAGGATCTACCAAACATGATTTCATTTGAGATGCAAAGTGCAGCCCTATGTCAAAGGATGAAAGTGCGACTGAAGGTAATGTCTCTGCTCTGGAGCTGCTGATTTGGAAAACACAAGATAAGTATGTGCCTAGCTGCTCTCAGACAGAGAGCTTTAATCATGTCTCAAAAATAAATGCTAAACGTCTGCTCTTCTCTTTCGCGATCTTGAATCAAAATGCTGCTTCGCGTGCAAGATTTCGCCTTTGACATTCATCCGCTTTCCTCTCTCCTTAGCCCTACACAGAACTCCGCGCTACCACATTCGCGCTAGCGCCATCTGTGGACAGTTACTCTTTCCTCCCACGAACCAGTTCGTCCCTTGTGCGCTTCAGTATACATACGCCTTGTTCAACCTGGCAACCGAGCACGACGGCGCAATGGACGACGATGACTTGTTCCCAGCCTACCGCGACTATGTTCAAGGTATTATCAACTCCGTCGTCATGCCTGACACGGAGCTCGCCAGTCTTTCAGTGACTTTAGAGGATATGGTATTCGGTCCTGTTACGGTTCACGGCCCACCGTCTCCAGGGGTACTTGATCTACGCTCGCCATCCCCGTACCCTACCTTGATGAAGATCATACCGCCTGAGGCTCTACGCCCAGCGCCGCCACCGCCCCATGTTGAAGCTCGCACTCCTACAGGCCCCACTCGCTCAGCGCAACGAACAAGGCAGAGACTGTTTAGGACATCGCAACGGCAAGCGCCATCTGCAGCACTGCCACCAACATCCTCACAGCAGCTTCTGCACAGTCTTAGACAGGTGGCTGAGTCTAGGAATACTCTACGACGTCGTGGCAGGCCCCTGTGTCAATCTACAAACCCATCGCTGCTTCGATCTTCTTCCGCCACAGATGTTGACAGTGAGGTTGGACAGTCTGCTTCAAGCACGCTTCCCATCCTCCCTTCCGACTCTCCATCCCAAGCATATGATCGACGCGGCCGGGGAACCTTTCGCCTGCAACAAGCGGCCAGTGGACCCCAGGAAGTGTCTACAGCACGCATTGCTCGTCTGAACGACGACGAATCTGCTCGAGGTTCACCCACTACATTAATACGACCTGGAGAGACTCTGAACCATGGCCGATTTGACGTGTTGCCGGAGCACATTCGACAACAAATGAATGCTCAGCTCACTGAAATGTGGAATATTGTCAACGCTCACCCTGAGCCTTCGATGAGAAATGGAGCATTAGCACAAATATCAGCAGCCAGTGCTCGTTTTCTCAAGGTGTTGGAAACCCAGGAGAATGCTTTACGCATGCAAGCCCATCAAACCTACCGCCCTCCTCTTGCGCCCGATGGCCCTCAACTCACTGTGGAACTTCGTACTCGAATCAATAAGGCGCTCGGCCACTATCTTGCTGCAGTGCGAAAACTTCAAACCTCACTTCATGATTCTTCGGGATCTGAGGAAGTTCTCAAGGCTTATCCCATGTTCCGCGAATCTCTACCTCTGGAGGGACGCCAGTACTTAGACATCATGCTTGCGAATGCAAGGTCTCAGGAGAATCTGCCAATTGGCTCGTTGAAGCAGCTGCATACCATTTCCCAGTACCAGCAACCAAGGCAAGGCCCCTACCTCGAACAACCCCGCGTTCCACAACCTTTACAGGTCCTTCAAAGCCAGAGTCACTACTCCACAATTCTACAAGCTCAACGCGAGGTTCCACTTGCCGCCGTCTCCAACTCTGTCCGCCACTTTGTCGATGCAAATGTCCCTAAGTACTTCGAAGCTATGCGCTACATGACACAGCCCCTAGAGACTAGCGATGCCGAGATACGCCAGAAGGCACAGATCTTTCTGAAACAATTCGATGAGGCTTTGCCTCCAGAGGGGCGCAGTTATCTCAATGAGATTGTGCAACGCGTGGCTATTGATGAGAATGCTGGCTTGTATGACCAAGGTGTGATGGATCGCGAGATGGGATAGCGAAAGCGATGGATCCCGAGGAATGCAGTGTGGAAGGTCAGCGATGGAAGCATCAAGTGGGAAAGAGCGTTTGAACCACAAAGGGGCTCCGAGACCGAGATGCTCACTTTATGTACCATGCATGCAAAGCAAGTAGCACCTGTGCCATATGGTTTTTCACACTGTTCTCGACGATGTGTCACGATTGCATAATAACAAGTTCACTGCAACACCGTTTTCACATCAATGTCATCAGAACTCCATCAGATGGCTATTTGAAAGTAAACATTGAGCACTTTAGCGCCAGTGCCGAAATTCACAATGATGATTAAAGGATGCCTCTCTACTAATACAGCTTCAACAAAGAGGGCTCCTAATCCTCAGGCAAAGAGAAGCACCGCTCGCCTTTGTGCTTATATGCTACATGTGTGCATTCTGCGATGGAAGTAGCCGCAATGGTGTCCTGGCTCAGGATTTCTGATGAGGTAGTTGTGATATCGGCTTGCTCTATCCTCTGATGATCCTCCGAATTGGTCGCTGTGGCCGCTTATTTGGTCTGGTCGTGCCATGTTCGTCCATTTCCCGCGAGAAGGAGTGCCTAAGCAAACTCCGTGTCAACAACCCCATGCGAATTCCGCAACTAGTAAATGCTTTATCCCATGAAATATCCCTCGTAATTGGCGTGCTTAGGTAAAGCTCCGCATCAGACGTGTCGTACGTCCCTAGCACCTGTTGTAGCATCGTGCTTTTGGAACAAGCTGGTCGCGTGCATGATCAAAGAGCTTTATGGCGCACTCAGATCTTCACCAAGCCCCGCAGTTAGGTAGGTCTTGGTATTCTGTGAGTATTTGCGGTAATCATTAAAAAACCCATCTTTCCCCAATGAGATGACCCAGCATGTTGCTGCTCTGTCGTGGTTGTGTTTGATTTAAACTCGTCCAACACAGGCCAGGCAAATTTGTACCTATGTAAGACCTTAAGCCACGATATGTTAGTCGTACAAAATACCGTGCTAGTCTTATGTACATGTAGTCGTGTCAACAGCCCCATATAGTTACAAGTGATCACACTCTTCCAAGAAAGACCCCTCGCTGTTGACGCGCTCCGATCAAAGAGCTCCACGATAGGCCTGCTGCAGGTCCAAAAGAGTAAGGAATTGACAGTTCGAGAGAGGCTATATCAATACAGATCATGTATGAGTCGCACTAGGCAAGGTCTGGAGCTACAGCATGATCGTGGCGCATAATTGCGAGAACTGGAAGTGATGTATACCATCCAGATCTTAGGTATGATATCACATGTCACGCATCCAACCTAGGCTTTCAATGGTCCAATGAGTTGTCCATTATTGGATGCCACGTTGGGGTGTGGTATGCCCTCAGCGAATTGTTCGAAAGCCCTGTCAACCGCAAGGCTGGCGTTAGGCACTGTGAGACGAGATTGATAAGATGAGACTATCCCGTCATCGTCTATCAACATATCAGATGCGAAAAGACGTTCAATGGTGATGGACGTGCTGTTGAGAATCTTATTGATCATAGGTTGTTGTAAGTGCACAAAATTTTGTTAACTCGACCCCACTTCGCCGAAACCACCCCACCATACCCACGAATGCTACCTGAAAAATGTTTCTCGAAGCTGCAGGCTCTTGTAACAGTGAAGATGTACAAATTTATTTTCATTAGTATATGGTTTATATTATCTCCAAGTCCTCCATCGTCAAACAACGACGGCCTAATGGCCCAATGGCAAGGCGCTTGACTACGATTCCAATTAAAAAATCAAATCAAGAGATTCCAGGTTCGACCCCTGGTTAGGTCAATTATCTTTTTGCTGTCTTCTCTATCTGTTGTATCGTTGACTTTGCGGATCAAGAATATATGGGGTGGGGGTTGACCACTTTTTTTTTTCGGTGTGCGCATACCTCCGACTTTAGAGCGCAGGAGCACGACCGATACAACATGACCTTTCTTATTATTATGCACCATAACCACACATGAAGCAGCATACGGGTGACGGATTATTGAACTTGGTCTTTCATTTTACAGTATCAAGTGTGCTCTCTTGAGTGCATATATGAAAGCTATCAAGCCCTTGCAGCAGGCTGTGTGAGAGTGTTGCCACCATCCGGGTACAGTACCTGCTCATTGTAGAACACTCCACCAGGACCAGCAAGAAAGAGAACAGTGGCAGCCATGTCAGTATCCTTGCCAGGGCGACCAGCGGGGTTCGACATCTTGCTGTCGATCACGCTCTTGTTATCCTCATCAGAAGTGCCAGTGGTCATCTATATATTGTCAGTATGATGTCAACAAGGACAGGATGCATTGCCAATTTACCTCACTAGGGAAGACACCGGGCGCAATGGTGTTGACCCGGACCTTGGTGCCCACGAAAGTAGTGGCGAGCATACGGCTGAGATGCGTAGCCGCCGCTTTTGAACTTGCATACGCGAACTGGCCGTTGCTGCTGCCCTTCATGTATCCAGAGATACTGCTGACGTTGATGACTTGAGATGTGTAACCAGGTGTGACGTCCTTGCCCTTGGCCAGCAATGGCAGGAAAGTCATGCTCATCCAAAAGATGCTACCGACGTTGGTCTTGAAGGTATCCGCCCAGCTCTCAGGTGTAGACTTGAGAAAATGCTGTGATATGGCCTCTGGATCCTCCATGTTGGGCTGACCAGCTGAGGAGAATTTGGTGTTGTCGTCACGAGCGATGCCAGCATTGTTGACGAGTAGTTGTATTCCCTTTGGCTCTTTTTCGCAAAGCTCCTTGTAGAGACGAGCCACTTCGTCCTTTTCGCTGTTGTGGCGTCAGAGCTAATGTATGATAATTGAGGGCAATAGAAATTACCTGATATCACCCTGGAGAGGGATGATCTGTCCTGGGCCGCTGTCGTAGAGCTCATCGGTCTTTTTCAGAACCTCTTCGCGTCGGCTTGTGATATACACCTTTGCACCATTGGCAACAAGAGCTTGTGTGATCATGAGTCCAATGCCAGTACCTCCGCCAGTAACAAGTGCTGTAATGTGCGAAACATCAAAGAGCTTGGAGCCTGTAAGCTGTTCATTGGAAGCCTTGCCGTTTCCCATATTTCTAACGATTTGGTATGATATTTGAGGAATAAACTTAGATTGCTGTCTGAAAGTTGAAGCTGCAGCAGGAATTGATCGCGAGAATAGTCGAAGCATGATGGAAGATTTTACATTGAGGAATGAGTCTTTTATGGGGCATTAATGCACAAGTACTCTATGTCCACATCATGACGTTGAGACGACGCACGCTGTTAAGAGGAAGAGTCTAGGTCGACAGTAACGCATCGAAATATTGGGCCAAGCGTTACCATGATCGCATCTACGCATTAATACCCACTTGCAATTCCACGATGGTATGATGGTGTTGCACAAGCGTCAATTTCCCAGTGGCCCAGCTTCCACATGGTGCGAGGTGAAGTGTTTAATGTCCAACGTTCGAACTAGTATCAACAGAACTGCTATTATATCAGGCTAGAGAGTAGTTTTATATTGTTAAGTATCTCGCTCTGGCATAATATTGCCCGTGTAGAATATTCGGGCCCTACTGTACCTGGCTGCGACGCATTGAGGTTGAGGCTTCGAAATCCGGCAATGACGTCACATACTCGTGCCCGAATATTCTCCGGCGCAATTCCGCCCGCATTTCAAATGTGATTCTTTGTTGAAAACACAAGACAAACAAATCTTTCCCCCGCACTTTGTCAATGCCTGCGGCCTGCTACAAGCACGCAATGGGTTGTTTGTCAGCCCGTGTGGTTATCATTGGCGGATGGCATTACTAACCTCGGTCGGAAATAATCGAGTCTTAGCTATGGCATCATTGCCACTTGGTGCGGATGAAGGGCAGCTGCCCGTTTGCAATATCGTCCCTCTCCATATTTATAATCACCAAAGTACATATAAACAGCTGCTGTGCAGACCTTGATCACAACCCATTCCTACAACTACTTACATTCCAACAATTGGCCCTCCAGATCATCAAACAATTACCAGCCCCGCGTAGCCGATAGCAAGATATTTCTACAGGAACACCAATTGATAGTAACCGTAAATCTACCCACGATGACGACCGCCGCTCAGCTCCCAACACCTGCACACCAGCTCTCTGCCCCTACACCCTCCACTACAGCATCATCCAAGGTTGAAGACGTCAACTTTCAAGGGTTGCCAATTCCTCGAGGCTCTGTCACCGCCTCTCTCTCTTTCTACAAGAGCCCAGAAGATGGCGCGCCGCCACACAACTATGTCGAGCCTCTTCCGGGTGTGCCACAGCGAAATTGGGGCGATAACTGGCAGGACGTGACTCTGAATGATTTGCGCGGCTCGGAGCAGAAGTTCACCCTCGACCACAACGCTTTCGACACATATCAAGGTATCGACAGCAACGAGCACGAATTTGCCGATGACGCACATATCAAGGAGGTCTACTACCCTGAGGTCGAGAAGCTCCTGCTCGAAAACGTCCAAGGCGCCCAGCGCGTCGTTCTTTTCGACCACACCATTCGCCGCCCCACGGGCAATCGCAACCCCGTTGTTCGCGTACACATCGACCAGACTCCCATGTCCGCTGCCGAGCGCGTCAAGCTCCACTGCCCCGAAGATGCCGACACACTCCTCCAGGGCCGTTACCGCATCATCAATGTGTGGCGACCCCTGAACGGTCCAGTCATGGGCTTTCCACTGGCAGTCGCAGATAGTCAGACTGTGCAGGACGAAGACCTCATTCCCATCGAACATCGCTACCCAGACCGCAACGGACAGACAGCGTCGGTGGCATACAACCCTGGTCAGAAGTGGTACTACTGGTCTGGCATGAAGAACACTGATCGCTTGCTGCTCAAGTGCTTCGACAGCGACCAGAGTGTTGGCCAATTTGGCCGGGTCCCACACACAGCTTTTAGCGACCCGCGCACACCAGAGGGTGCTGTTGGCCGTGAAAGCATTGAGGTCCGCGCCTTGGTGTTTGGCTGAGGAACAAATTTGAATTGGACGGTTTTGAAAGAGGTCATGAGTCACGAAACATAGCAGGCGTTGGAGAACGGTCAGCCATGGCAATGGATTAAGGAACAGGCGTTTGAGAATGGATCACTTTAAGCTGCAGTCACTTGATACAGGCAGATAATGTAATGCAATCAACATTATGAACTATTGACTATGATATATGCAACTTGTGATAAAAGAGAACACCGGCCTGGGGTATCTGCATGCTTCCAAACGCTAAAAATGTCTATGCCCGCTCAAAGTGAGTAGCTTGTTCCGCCGTGATCATTAAAAGTATTGTGAGAATCGCTACTCATACAAATCCCTGTTGTGGGGATTGTTGTTCGTAGCAGGTGGATGAGGTGCCGACGCTGGGTTTGTGGGCGCCTCACTGACATTCGAGGCTGGTTGCGCGGGGGGTGGAGGTACCACTCCTTGAGGTGGTGGGCTCAGCGCTGTGCCGTTCGCGTGGTGTACAGGTTGTGGTGGTTGCGGATGAACAGGCGATGGTCCTAATGGCGAAACAGGTGCCTGCTGTGCCATAGCAGGATGCTGAGAGACGGGCGAGCTGGTTACTGTGGTCCCTTCCTTGGGCACATCATGTGGAGCGTAGTAGCCGCCTTGCTGAGGTTGCGGGTACACATAGCCTTGAGGGGGCATGAATCCTTGTCCGTCGGGAGTAGGGACCCAGCCTGGAGGAGGGGGGCCGTAGTAGTAGACCTGACCAGGAGCACCTGGTGGTGGAGGACCAGGCATGAAGCCAGGAGGAGCTTGTGCCATGGCTGGGTGGAGAGGCTGGCCCTCTGGCACAACACCGACAGTGGTTCGCGAATATTGTCCAAGATGCTCAACGGGGTATCCGCGCCTGAAACCCCACTTCATCCATGCTTTGAACGCTGCGCCTGAACCCATGCTCTTCCATTTTTCCTCGAGCAGTTTCCTGTCTTCCGGGCTGCGCCTGTCTTGCATCCTGGTGAAGCAGAGAACAAACAGTGAGATGAGGATCCAACAGACAGTGCCACAGCGCATCGCGCTCTTGCCCATCATGAGACGGCGGAACCAGAAATAAGACTCGAGGAAGCCGAGGACGAAGAGGCCAGGGATGACCGTAGCGACAATGATGATCCAAGTTTTGAGATCGGTGCCGCAATAGTAGCTGTAGCGCGAGTAGCAGTATCTAGAGCTGCTGCTAGAATCATCGTCATCGCCAGAGCTGCCACTACCGCCACCATAGTAATTGGAACCGGACGTGCTGCGGGCTGCAGGTGGTGTGCTACACGACTTGATGTAGTAGCTGTAGGTAAAGTCGCGGGCCGATTCGAAGGGTGCAGCTCCGGCACTGAGATACCAAGTCTTGATGCTGTAGGTGTAGTAACTTCCCATGGTACTGATACCGCCATCGACAGTTGAGGTTGGTGTAATCTGGCTGCGCACAATAGACGGAATTGATACTGTTGCGGTTGTCGTGACCGTGAATTGGGTAGGACAAGACGCCGGTGCCGTCATGGTAACAGGCATGACAAAGCTGGTGGACGGCGTGATGTAATCCGAGGCAGTCCTGCTATTGTAGAATGAGGATGACCTTGTCTCATAGTAATCCGGCTCAATTTCTGATAGCGGAACCTGGTTCAGACCATAATACTCATACACGGTCAACACCTCGTCGGAATAGTAATACGAGGCGGTTGAAGTCGAGGTGGGCGTAGCAGTTGGTTTGACGGTAGCCTTGACAGTTCGATAACTGTCAGTTGCTGTCATTGTAGTGACACCTCCATTCCGGCTTGTGTACACGCTAGGGGAAGC